GAAAGGATGGAAACAGTCCACTTGGCACCCATATATAACTACTACTTGAATCAATCTGCGATTTATTGTGCTACATACAAGCCTTAATCTTGTGTTGACCAAAAAATCCTTGAGGAATTTCTTGATTTTTTCATTTGCTAACAGATATCTCATTTTCCAAGTTTTGATACATTGTTAGGATGAAAGTGTAAGAAAATGACACTTGTTGGGAGAGAGAAACCTTTTAACTTGCAATGTGCTACAATTGTTTGGACATCTATCAAAGAACCCCCCTCATCTTGTGCATAGCCCGTTCTCTCTACTTTTTTTTAGCTCAACTTCCTTTCTTTGGCATGGCTTCAAGGTGTTATTGGATCCCAATTATTTTATCTGACCAAAAAGAAAATCCCAATTATTTTATTTGACAAAAATGAAAATCCCAATTACTTTGTACTTAATTTATGTAATATCAAATTGATGTGGAGTTTTCCTTGAAAAAAAAAAAAAAGAAGTTTCGCGATAACTTCACATACAAAATTGGTAAATCTACTCCCAGAATTTTTAGCAGTTTCATCTAAGATTTTGAAAAGTTACGTGCTTTACACTAAACTCACTTTTGATGACATGCAGAGCCAGTTTTTGTAAGAAAAATATGACGTGAGAAATCAAAATAGCAAGGTTATTTTGAGTAATTCAATCAAATTTCAGGGTCAAAAAACCAAATACCATGAAAGAAAAGAACCTACATGCAACAAGGCACTTGCTATAAAACTTCAAAAAGTTTGCTTGAAATCCACACAACGGAACCTCGTCCACTTCATCCTCCATCTCCATAGACAAGACAAAAACCTGATAACCGCCGAATCAGGGAGAAAACGACGAGAGGCGTTATCTTTAGTGACGGCCTCAGAGCTCACTGCCCCATCCCAGGCCCTCCACGTGTCCTCCGAAACTTCCATTAGTACCAGATTAGTCCCCTCCCTTCCCAATCCACTAACACCTCGAATCGAGTACCACCACCACCATCTAATCCAAATCTAAACAACTATTTTGACCCAAAAACAAAAAACAAAAAAAAAACGACTATTTATTTATTTTTCTGTAAATGTTTTTTGGGGGATAAATATATATATTTATTTGGCCATTGGTGGGTTTTGTGTTTTTGGTTTCTCAAGTTTTTAGTGACAGTGGTGGTGGGTTGTGGAGAGAGAGAGAGAAAGAAATAGGCGAAAATGGATCACGCAGCCGATGCTCACCGTACGGATTTGATGACCATAACGAGGTTCGTGCTGAATGAGCAGTCCAAGCACCCTGAGTCTCGCGGAGACTTCACCATCTTGCTCAATCATATTGTTCTTGGCTGCAAGTTTGTCTGCTCTGCTGTCAACAAGGTCTCTTTCTCTCTCTCTCTCTCTCTCTCTCTCTCTCTCTCTGGGTATCATTTTCTTCTTACACAGATACGTATTGGTTGTTTTTTCTGTAAAATTATATCGAATGGCAACCTGGGATTTGTTTTTTATTTGATTTTGTCATGGAAATGAAGGTTTTTTTAATGTTAATTTGGCAATTATAGGTTTGAATGCAAGGCTTTCTCTGTTTTTAGTGCTGTGATGTGAAATGGGTTTTTTACATGAAATTTTTTACTTGTGCAGGCGGGTCTGGCCAAACTTATTGGGCTTGCTGGAGAGACCAACGTTCAGGCAAGTGTTTGATGCTTAATGGGTGTAAAGTGATATGTGTTTACATTAAATATTTTCTGTTGGGTCATTCTTTATGTGAGTTTGATTTGCTGTTTTGGTTAAAGGGTGAAGAGCAAAAGAAACTGGATGTGCTTTCAAATGAAGTTTTTGTTAAGGCCCTGGTTAGCAGTGGCAGAACTGTAAGCCATCACATTTCCTTTTACAGTTAAACTGAATTTTGAAAGACTTCATTTCTGCTAACGATTTGGTTTTATGGCAGTCTATCCTTGTTTCGGAGGAAGATGAAGAGGCCATATTTGTGGAGCCATCCAAGCGTGGAAAGTAATTGACTATGCTTTATGCTGGTTATTTGAGCTTGTTGCAATGGAAATTTTGTTTTTTGTTTTTTGTTTTTTTCCAATTTCTTTTTTATGAGACTTTTAACTACAGGTTCTATGTGTAAATAATTCTCTAAACTTATACTGGAGGCAGGTACTGTGTTGTATTTGATCCACTGGATGGTTCGTCTAACATTGATTGTGGTGTTTCCATTGGAACGGTATGATCCTTCAGTCTGAAGTATGATATCTTTTATGTTGTTAGCATTGAAAGTCTGTGCTGACGTATGTTCGCAAAGCAATTATTTGTTCCAGAATAACTCAATATTGTGGTGGGAACCATTTGTCTTCTCTTTCATCTAGATTTTTGGGATTTATGTGGTAAAAGATGGCATTGAACCTACTCTGCACGATGTCTTGCAACCTGGAAAGAATATGGTTGCAGCAGGCTACTGCATGTATGGAAGCTCTTGCACGGTATATGAAACATCACCTTTCTTCTAATTCAGATGCATACATTTTGTTTAGTAAACCCAGCCCCTTTCCTGGTTTCCCAATTACTGGCTTTTCCGTTTCATTAAAGTAAAATTTCTTATTTCGTTACTTATCGGATTCCTCTGAGTAGTGTGCCTGACTAAATGGCAGTCTTTATTTGAATCTTTCTTTTGATGGTAGGATCTAGGATTTTCTTTGCCTGCAGTCTAGATTTGCAAGACATTGCTTTAATTATTTGGGAATGTAATGATTTTACAGTTTGTGTTGAGCACTGGAACTGGAGTTCATGGGTTCACTCTGGATCCATCTCTTGGGGAGTTCATACTAACTCACCCAGACATCCAGGTATATCTCTTTTTATATTCCTCAACCAGCATAATCCTTACTGTATTCTGTTGAGAATGTACCAAGGGACATATGTTATCTTTGAGATTGGCATTCTTTTCCCTTTGTTTTGGAGCCTCTAACATTCAGTTTATGTCTACTTCTTTGCCCAGATTCCAAAGAAAGGAAAAATCTATTCAGTGAATGAAGGGAATGCCAAAAATTGGGATGGTCCGACGGCCAAGTATGCTAAGCTCAATTTATAATTTCTTATTTCTAAAACCATCATTGGAGATGTCTGACCCATTTGATTTCCAGGTATGTGGAAAAGTGCAAATACCCGAAAGATGGTTCATCACCAAAGTCTCTAAGATACATTGGAAGGTATCCTATATTCTCAACTTAGCAGTCAATGAATTTCAGGTGTTTAAATTGTTTGATTTGTTCTTTCAATCCCAATCCGAAATTGGTGGTGAACTAAAAGTTTATTTGTAGGTCAATGATTTTTAGCTTTCTTTCTTCATCATTTTAGTTTCTCTTTTCGTGTCTCTGTTCAACATCTGATGCCGTTCTGTTTCTTTCAATAAGAAGTTATATAAGTTATGATTTTATCATGTTTAACAGCATGGTTGCTGATGTTCATCGGACACTGCTTTATGGAGGTATCTTTTTGTATCCTGCTGACAAGAAGAGCCCAAATGGGAAACTGCGGTACGTTAAGCGCGATTATAGCTATAATTATCTGCTTAACAGTCTATTTTCAGATTGAAGTTAAGGAATTTAGTGACTCAGTTTGTTTTAACCTATCTCAACTAGTGTTCTCTACGAAGTCTTCCCCATGTCTTTCTTGATGGAACAAGCAGGCGGTCAGTCATTCACTGGCAAGGAACGGGTAACATTTCTTATTCGTTATTGTGCTAATCGAAATTGGTGAAATAACTAGCTAGTTTTCTGTACGCAAAGCTTATCATGCAAGATATTCCAGAGCTATTCTCTACCCTGCCATGAAGCTTTGTAGGAACAGAGCATACTCTATACAATACGCACAGGCATTCTCGTAACTGCAAAATTTCGAAGAAATTTCATTTACTAGGGAAGTAGTCAAATGAAATTGGAAATTACTAAAAAGGGTAATGTTCTCGTCCGGCAATCTAGGATGCTATGTTGTTTTGCCATTTGAACAATTGGTTAATTGTTGAAATTGATAATCTAGCAACTTAACATGCAAACGGGTATGACAAGAGAACATTTAACGTTGCTTGAAATGACAAATTTTATTTTATAAGATTAAGTTCTTGCTAGTTGAACTTTTGAGACTCAATTGGATATTAACATTTATCTTGGCAGGCCCTTGATCTAGTTCCAAACAAGATCCATGAGCGCTCTCCAATCTTCCTTGGCAGCTATGATGATGTTGAGGAAATCAAGACACTCTACGCCGCAGAAGGGAAGAAGTAATGAACTTATAATTCTGATTCTGTTACAGTAATTACGTAATTGTTCGGCTATCTGAACTTCCATCTTTTAAATCAAGCTGTAAAGAGAACGTCAGTACAATAATTTATTGACGTGTACAACTCTAACAAGGTATTCTTATGTTTTGAATTACACCCTCATAACGTTTTTTGGCTCAAGTTTTCTTAAAATATGATATATTACAACATAAATCATAAAATAGCATCATTAGATTTAATTTTATTTATAGATTAAATGGAAAAATAGAACTTGATAAGAGAAAATTCTAACTCTAATCCTCTCAAATCTCTGTTGCTGTAATTAGAATCCTGTCCTGCCTCATGAAATTTTTATATTCTAGTATCTTTCTTTATTTTCTCACATTAAAAAAATGAACTCGAAAAAACAAAACTCACAACAAAAAAAAGGGTTAAAGGATAATGAAAAACAAAAAAAACAAAAAAGCTTAAAGGTATGTGAAGAGAAAAAAACGCAGCAGTATTGCAAACTATTGGAGACTACATTATTTCATGGGGAAATTTTAGACCCTAACTGGTCAATTCCCTAGGAGGATATAACGTCAAGATTTCTATCCATGCTTGTGAACATTGTTGCCTGTAGTCAAAGAACTGGATGCAGAAATTTTTTAGAGAATAAGGGTGGGCCCCCATAACTAATTCCTAATGACTATCCTGGGACTGTGTAAGTAAAGATAACAAGAAGAAAACAATAACAGTAAGAAACCATCAAACTGAGATTCATCAAACTCCAAATTCTTTTATGGCTACCTCAAAGTACAGCTGAAAATCTGATCCTAGATAGCTGGGATTCAAGAAATCTCCATGCATTCAAAAATCTAATAGTAGAATAACATTGAGAGAGATTAGTTAAACGTCACAACAATTGATTTCCCAGCAAACGTATCTACATCAAGCTGTCCTCAGAGGAGGTGAAACAAGGATGACACCGTCTCCTCTAACAAAGAGAAAAGGAACATTCCGCTTTGTAGTCTGCGATAGAAGAATGAAAAAGAAGTCATCACCTAAAAATCTAATACAAGAGCAAGCTAGTAACAACAGCCAAAACATACAAGACCAAACAAGTAAGGATCTATATTAAAGCCAAATGCAGCTCAATATAGGGCATGAAAATCCAACCATATATTTATCATCCTTTTGTCTTTTTCTTCGTTAATTATGTTTTGGGGGTTTTGATTGCCTCTGGAACTATCTGATGGTACAGTCCTTAATGCAGTTCTATGCCATGGTTTAAATTTATGCATCATTTTTGTTATTTATGCAATTTAGTCCTCCAAGAAAACAATATTACACGTTAAAAAATGACTGGAATATAAATTTACCATTTTTTAAAATAAAAAAAGTGATCAAAGACAATAGAATTGAGTAACATACCCGGACAATCTCTTCATAAGTTTCATCATCAATTTCTATAGAAGTAACAACTTCTTCAACATCACCAAGAATCATATTTAAGTGTTGATCATAAGCCTGCAAAGCCAGATTTCAAAAAACAAAATAAGAATCAGACACTAAGCTTTAAAAGCACAAATACTATGCTTGTAAGTACCAATTAACAAAATCAACTGACATAATTGTACACATACAAGAAAATTTCTCATCACCCTCCATCCCTAATGTCATTGCATCAAGTTCAGACAATCGGTCCTCACAACAATCTTCATAACCAAACATCTTAGTCTTTTTTTCCGTTTCTTTACTACATATTAATTTTCTGATAGAAGAATTCCATTCATTTATACATTTTTACTTAAAAGAGAGGCCGTTAGAAGATTAGTGATTTTGATTGGAAATACTTTTGAGGAACATGGAAACAAAGGTGAAATGGAAAAGAGAGATGGTTTGGAAAGCATCAGTGATTGGCTTAGCATAACTCTTACGACAATTTCAGTGCTGGCTAAGAAGTATTGTTTGGCAAAAAGACAACTAAATAATACTGGGATGAGTTGACTAGACAATGCATTTGGAAGCTTAGCGCTCGATCTAGGTAGAGCATATAACGCTCGACCTAATCCTAGGTTCAATAAAGATGAGTTCACAAGTAGAAGTGCCAGAATTAACATTGATTTCAAATGCATAATTTAAATTTTGAAATCAGTAATAGGAAAAGTGAGGATTTACCTCTGGAAAAATCATAAAGATGGCTACTGATTTCTTATACAACCACACAATTGCGGAGAATACAGTAGAGTATAATTTCAAGCTATGATAAAGCAAATATCAATCTAAACCATCGTTCAAATTATTTATTTTTTAAAGAGAATACTCAACAATTAAACTATATGGTAACCACCAACTGAATCATTGCCCTAATCAACATAGTGTCAAAGTACCCATTGTAAATTTCTTTCCATACTCAAAATGCAGTACATAAAAAATAGCTCAAACCTTCAAAGGAAAATACAAAAATTCAACAACAACAAAAACACCTTAACGCATACCGTAAGAAAGCAACCCTAATTTAATTTCCATTGAAGACATAAACACTAAAGTAGCATACTATAAACCCTAACTTTCTTTTCTTTTTCTTTTTTTTTGTTCCTCCCGAATCTTAAACCCTAATTTAGAACAGAGTGAGAGACATGGAAGGCTGTGGAGACGTACATGTAGTTTACCGCGGAGCTCACGGTCAGAGCGGAGCTTGACGTAGATGCGCTCGTCGAGGCTGAGCCTTATCAGATCCAACGGCTCCTTCACGGCGCTCTCTTCCTCACTCGCCATCTTTTCAGTTTGCTCTTACTCCGAATGGGTTTGGTAAATTATGCGGGTAGCTGGGCAGAGGGACTCGCTAGATCCTCTCTCTGTTTCTCTGTATTGTTTGATTGTAGTTGCCGGGCCTGCGTGCCACTCGGTTGTTGCTAGCTTGGGCCTTTGACCTTTGTTTGCCTTTTTGTCTCGGCTGGCAATGAAATTGTATTTGGGCCGAAAGAAAAAAACAAAAAGAAGCTCCATTATTGTTTGTTGGCTTTTTATCACAAAATATCCCTAAAGTTTGCGAAATTATCAGGTTGCATCCCTTATGTTTTTTTGTGTCATTTGTGATCCTTAAGATTAATACGCGTACTCACAAATAGTCATTGCCATCATGTTTTATCCAAAAATCTGTTAAATTGATGACGTGACACAATGTGGGTCTCACATATCCAATGATATGATGCCACATGGATTAAATAAATAAAAAATACATTTGAAACTTATAAATTTTTTTACCATCATCTTCTCCATCGCACTAAACCCCAACCCCAACTAGTCTCCCCCTCCTCCCCTGAAATTTTTTTTTTGTTTTATACTTTTTTAATGGTTTATAATTTGAAATTATTTTTTTTAATGTAATTTTTTTATTTAATCTACGTGGCATCATGTCATTGGATATGTGAGACCCACATGTGTGCCACATCATCAATTTAACATATTTTTGAACGGAACCTAATTGCAAAGACTATTTGTGAGCACATGTATTAACCTTAAGGACCATTAATGACAAAAAAAAAAAATATAAATGATGCAATATGATAGTTTCGCAAACCTCAGGGATGTTTTGTGATAGAAAAGCCTTGTTTGTTTTGTACCTTGTTTGTAGTCAAATAACATTTCTAAAATATTTATATAAAATAATTTTTACTTCACTTAGCTTATATGTAACCAAAAAAGAAGAAGGGAGCTTTACTAATACCCAAAATAGGGGCTGAAATTATTATATAAAAAAAACCCACATAGAATGCACTTTAGAAACACACCCAAAACTCATTTACTATATAAGAAATTGGTGTTTAAGTTTCTATAAATTATGTGATTGCCATTGATCAACTTAAAAAAGAAGTCAAACACAAAAAATTAAAATAGCACCCAAAACAAACCCATCCCAATTTTATTTATAAAAAAAACCAAACAATTCATTACAAAACAAAACGTCTTGAAAACCATAGCTTCATTAATGTGTCATGTTGATTAATGACTGTAATATTCCACACCTTTACTGTCATGTTGATTAATGGCTGTAATGTTCCAGTCTAGGGTAATAACACTGCTAGTTTGTTGTCATGTTGATTAATGGCTATAATGTTCCTGTCTAGGGTAATAACACTGTTATTTTCCTATGACATCATATTTCTAATGTATGTCTACCCATGTAATGTTCCAGTGTAGGGTAATAACACTTCTAGTTTTCTATGACATCCTATTTCTAATGCATGTATACTTTTTTAATGTTCCAATCTAGAGTAATAACATTTCTGATTTACTGTCATGTTGATTAATGGCTGTAATGTTCCAGTCTAAGGTAATAACATTGCTAGTTTACTGTCATGTTGATTAATTGATGTAATGTTCCAGTCTAGAGTAATAACACTGCTAGTTTCCTATGAAATCCTATTTCTAATGCATGTTGTTGAGGCCCAAAATATTCACGGTTCGGCCCAAATAAATTCTCGGCCCAATGTGATGCTTTACCAAGAAGAAACCCGATTTGGGCATGCGAAAGTTCATCATATGCGCTTGCACACATGCCACGCCAAACGACACGCCACGCTAAGCAAGGAATTATCATTCCGCACCTAATCACGCCAC